TAATTTTTTGGTTGCGATATATAGGATGACCCTTTTATTAGGACCACCATCATCAGGAAAATCGACACTTTTGCTGGCTCTCGCGGGAAGGCTAGACGCTAGTCTAAAGGTTTTAGTGCTTTCATGAATTTAACGATGATCGTGCTTAGGTAAAATATGTGGGCAATCTTATTTACTCGAGTGTTGAAAAAACTTTTGGTACTTGTTCACATTGTTCGAAAACAGAGAAGAGGAGAAATCACGTACAATGGACACACGCTTGATGAATTTGTACCGCAAAGAACATCAGCATACGTGAGCCAAGACGATGTCCATGCAGGGGAAATGACTGTTAAAGAGACTCTTGATTTCTCGGCAAGATGCCAAGGCGTCGGGTGGCGTTATGGTAATATCAAAATTACACATTTCATTTTTTTTCTTTTTTTTTGGGTTATGAATAAGATAATCACCAAATAAGCTAAATTGATGAGCAAAGATGTCATCTAACTGGTAAAGAATAAGAAATTTGTACTAGAAGAAGTATTTATATATCATTTATTAGCATGTTCTTCTTTTAGAAAGTAATCTCATTTGTTCATTTTGAAATTCTGAACTTAAATCAATTGAATATCAAATAGAACTATTGACTGAGCTTGCGAGAAGAGAACGAGAAGCGGGCATTTTCCCTGAGGCAGAAGTCGATCTTTTCATGAAGGTAACGAATACAAATGCGTCTGTAAATCTTAGATAATGTGACCATCTTTTTTCAGTTAATCTTTTCACGAAGGTGCGCGTTAAAAAGTGTCTGTACGTAATATTGTCATTTTTCGTCAAATTTATAAAACAGGCAATTTCTATGGAGGGAGAGAAGGCTAGCCTTATTACAGACTACACTATCAGGGTACATGCAATTTTTTATTTTTATTTACTTCCATTACATAGTGCTTTTCTTAAAATAAGAGATTGGAAATACACAAATACTATTCTCTTAATCAATTTAATTACTAAAATTCAGATATTAGGACTTGATGTGTGTAGAGATATTGTTGTTGGAGATAAGATGTGGCGAGGAATATCTGGAGGCGAAAAGAAGCGAGTTACGACAGGTGCTTTTTTTTATGTTCATTCTTACTGTGTATATAAATTTGAAGTTGAAAAGATTTTTTTTCAACTTTTCCTTTTCTTCATTTTTGTATTATGAGTACAGGGGAGATGATTGTGGGCCCAAAAACGATACTCTTCATGGACGACATATCGACTGGACTCGACAGCTCCACAACATTTCAGATCGTCAAGTGTTTGCAGCAAATCGCACATTTAACTGAGGCCACCACTTTCATGTCCCTTCTCCAACCATCTCCCGAGACTTTCGATCTTTTTGACGATATTGTTCTCTTGTCCGAAGGCCATATTGTCTATCAAGGTCCAAAAGATCACGCCGTTGAATTCTTCGAAAGCTGCGGTTTCAAATGCCCCGAAAGAAAAGGAATCGCCGATTTCTTGCAAGAGGTAGGTACATTATAGTTGTTCGATTCTACTATTTTTCGAGATTTTGTTTTACGAGACTATCTAACCGGTAGAATGGGCTTTTCTTATTTNAAAATACTCTAATAGGTGACATCAAGAAAAGATCAAGAGCAATACTGGGCCAACAAGAGCAAACCGTATGACTACATTCCGGTCAAGGAATTCGCGGCTCGATTCAAAAATTTCCACATCGGCCAACGTCTCGAAAACGAGCTTTCCATCCCTTACGACAGGTCAGCGAGCCACAAGGCAGCCCTCACGTTCGAAAAACACGCGGTCCCCAAGTGGGACCTTTTCAAGGCAAATCTCGACAGAGAATGGCTGCTGATGAGACGAAACTCGTTCGTCTACATATTAAAATCGGTCCAAATATTCATAGTCGCCGTTATTGCATCGACCGTCTTCTTACGGACTCGAATGCACACTCGAAATCAGCAAGACAGCGGTTTGTACGTAGGCGCGCTTTTATTCACCTTAACGTGCAATACTTTCAACGGTATTGTCGAGTTTCCAATCCTGATGAAGAGACTTCCCCTGTTTTATAAGCATCGAGACCTTCTATTTTACCCGCCTTGGACTTTTGCTCTGCCGAGCTTTCTGCTGCAGGTCCCGATTTCCATGCTTGAGTCGATTGTTTGGACAGTGACGACTTATTACACGATTGGATTTGCACCTGAACCGAGTAGGTAAAGTTTGCTTTGGTCATTTGATAAATGATGTGGCTAATAATTTAGATTTTATATTATTATTTATAATGTGATTTTTTTTTTCTCAGGTTCTTTAAGCAATTAATGCTGGTATTTGCTATCCAGCAAATGGCTGCAGGGATGTTCAAGCTGATATTAGCGGTATGTAGAACGAAAGTGGTAGCTGATGTCTGTGGCGCGCTTGTTCTTCTTATGGTGATCCTTTTCGGAGGATTCGCACTTCCTAGAGGTGATCGATTCTTGTTTTAGAACTTTCGATCTTGTTATAAGGGACGAAAAAAAAAAATTGTTTTTGGTATAAGAAGTTTACTTGCTTTTATATATTAATAATCACATTTTGGTATGTTCGGTTAATTGAACAACGATTAACAGAAGACCTAGCCGTTGGATTTTCAGAAAAAAATTATATATTCGGAAGATATAAACTTTGAAGGATCAAACTATACAATTCGATCATCGATCCGAGCTTTGGATTATGAGAAATTGGTCTACAAAGTTTCAAGCATGTGAAAACATGCAGAAACTTCATCGGCCTATTGTTAAAGATCCAAATTTCAATCGATAATCGGGAGTTAGTATTCAAATCATGCTATAGATCATAGATAACAAACAACTTGATCTCCAAAATGCAGACAAGATACCATCTTGGTTGAGTTGGGGTTATTGGGCTTTCCCTCTGAGCTACGGTAACAACGCTTTGATCATAAACGAGATGTTTGCTCCGAGGTGGATGAACATAATGGTGAGACCAAAAACCTTCGCGTCTTGTATATTTCCTTTAAATAATAAANACACCCTTGCAGCAAAAAAAAAGGGGATTATGAAGAGAATTTTCATTCACATGCAGGCTATGGATAACACCACAAGCTTAGGCATTGCCATACTAAACAACTTAAACATTCCCACTCACGAGAGCTGGTATTGGATTGGTCTTGGTGCCCTTTTTGGTTTCGCGGGACTCTATGTTGTTCTTTTCACCATCGCCATTACGTATCTAAATCGTAAGATATATCTATATATAATAGTGTATTACTCCTTTCGCGAGTTGATGATGTAATGAAGTTGGTTTTTTCATATTTTGTCATTTTCCACAAAAAAGCAATCGACATGAAACGGGCTGTAACCGTATCCAAGAAGCAGGCAGCAGGGGAGACCGATGGCGATCTTGATGAAGGTACAACAAAAGATGCACAAAGACCAATCAAGTCCAAGAAAGGGATGGTTTTACCATTCACCCCTCTCGTCATTTCCTTCGACAGCGTGAACTACTTCGTGGATATGCCGCCTGTAAGAAAAAAAATTACTCTGTTTTTCGAAGATCGCTTGTTTTATTTATTTATTTATTTATTTTCTTACCTGGCAGGAAATGAAGGAACAAGGAGTGAAAGAGGATAAACTGCAGCTACTTATCGACATTAGTGGCGCATTTAGGCCGGGAGTTTTGACGGCATTGATGGGAGTGAGTGGAGCCGGAAAAACGACACTCATGGATGTTTTGGCGGGAAGGAAAACGGGAGGTTACATACAAGGTGATATAAGGATATCCGGATTCCCTAAGAATCAAGAAACTTTCGCGCGAATTTCGGGATATTGTGAGCAAACCGATGTCCACTCGCCTCAAGTGACCGTCCACGAGTCCTTGATTTTCTCTGCTTTTCTTCGTCTCCCTAAGGAAGTAACTCGCGAACAAAAAATGGTAAAAAAGTAAAAACAACTCTTAAAAAAATCTACAAGAATTAAAGAAAATTTACGCATGGTTTGGATTTTTTAACAGGCTTTTGTTGATGAGGTGATGGATTTGGTCGAGCTGGACGATTTGAAAGATGCCATTGTTGGGATCCCGGGAGAAAGTGGATTGTCGACCGAGCAAAGAAAACGACTGACGATAGCTGTTGAACTTGTGGCAAATCCTTCGATTATATTCATGGACGAGCCGACTTCTGGCCTCGATGCACGTGCAGCAGCTATTGTAATGAGAACTGTTCGAAACACAGTGGATACTGGGAGAACTGTTGTCTGCACGATCCATCAACCGAGTATAGATATTTTCGAAGCTTTCGACGAGGTAATTAATTTGACAAAATCATTTCATTTGTTCCTTTTGGTTATCATTATAATTCGAAATAATTCGAAATTTGTTCCCTTGGAGACAGTTGCTCCTTATGAAACGAGGCGGACAGATGATTTACGCAGGACCATTAGGCCGAGAGTCGCGGAAAATCATCGAATACTTTGAGGTAATAATTCAA